CATGATCAGTCAGTTTCACTCTGAACCTTCTCAGCTTCCCACATGTTGTTGCTAGGTAACAGACGACGCAGTTCCAACCAAATACAGCCGACAGAGGCGCACGTAAACGGACGCTGACCATCAGAGACGAGCTGCGAGTGCTTCAGCTGAACTCAGAACAAGAATCTGTGCTGGTGGTCGGTGAGGTCACTGGAGCTGCTGATAAAAGACGCTGTGATGTCAGCGGGCGCCAGGAAACCCGTTGACATCACAGTGCCCGCTGAGTTGATGGATTCACCAGAAATCACTGACACCCCACTTAACTGTTTTTCACCGAGCGTGACCTCACAGGATTCAACTGGTTTCAGCCAATCAGAACCTCCCTGGCTGCTGACCTCATGTTTTTATTTGTCAGGGTCTGATGTTGCTCGCACAGCGAATGACCTGCCGTCTCGACAAGGACAATAATTGAGAATAATTTGCCTTTCAGAACCTCGCTGCAGCTCGGAGCCGCCGCGGCGTGCGTCTCGTTCCCTGAGTGATCGCGTAACAGCTGCCATGTTCAACTCTTCCTGTCATTAAAGACTCACCAGAAGCACCCCCCCCCTCCTCCTGCGGTCTTCGTCTTCTTCTTCGCAGGCTGCTCACTCTGATCACAGTTCAGCCTCTTGGCGCCGCACACGTCGTCCACCTTCACCTGGCTGCTGGAGGAAGCCTGCAGACCTGCGACAGGAAACACACCTGGCGTCAAACACGTGCGACCTCGCGCTCTCACCGTGCGAGCTGTGCGGCGCGGCCAACCTCTGAGCACGGAGTCCTCGAGTCGCTCGGACAGGTCGTGGCACTGCTGCTGGTACTCTGCGTCGGTGAACTGGTGTTTGGGCTCATTGAGCTTCCTCTGCAAGCGCTCCAGACGCCGCTGCTCCTTCTCTGCCTCGCGCTCCGCTTGCTTCTTCAGCCAGTCCGCCATCCTGCCGCACCACAGAAGAACAGACATGTCACTGCAGTGAACACCGGCCGCTCACGATCAGACTCCACCCACAAACTGCAGGAGGAAGTGACCTCGATGGTGGGATAGATGGTCGTTTGACAGGTGTGAGCTGCGGTCACACAACTGAAGACCTGACCCAACATCACAGCGCTCTGAGCTTACAGCAGCAGCTGCTGCAGATGTTTGAGGTGAATCATCATCATCAATAAGTAACCTGAATATTTTTCATCAACTGTAGAAAATTCACCTTTCAGAGTTTTTAAAACTTGTTTTCAGACACTTGAAAGTTAAGTGCGCTCACCTGGACAACACCTCGGACACTGCTGTGTAAATAACATTCAGAGCGTTTCTGTTCTCGTGTTTTATGTGCAACCATCAAATCTGTTAAACTGGCTCCAAACATCTCAATACGTTTAACTGCCAACGTGACAGCAGAGCAGGAAGCAGGGGGCGGAGCAAAGCGTGACAGGAATGGTGTTTGCACAGGTGTCTCCACGGTCGGGAAAACTAAAACATCTGCAAACAGACGTTATTGAGCCTTCTGGCTGAACGCTGCCACCTGCTGGTGAGACTTTCATTACATTTAGCACAGATTTTACTGGAAGACCTTAAAGTGGGGCTGCGTGTCGTCACTGATTCAATTCCAATTCACAAGGTCCCGAATCGGGGACATTTTGCCTCAGACAGTCAGAAATATTATAATCCAGATGATGCATCAGTACATTTCCATATTTTTATATCTATAAAAAGAAAGCTTGAGACTTTATCAAAGGTGTGAGCGTCACAGCAGACGCCTTTGTGTCAAAGTAACTGAGGAATTTTATAAAAAAATTCTGCAGTAGATCAAAAACGAAAGAAAACCGTTAAACATGTGAACGTTACCTGATGCTGCTGAAGTGAAGCAGAGCAAAGTTACAGACGTTTGATTAGAGACACAGCTGAGAGTTTTGCAATGTTGCATAATTTTAAAAAGTTTAAATATGTTCAGTATTGAACAGCAGAAATGAGGCTTTGTTTTCAGAAGTAAAAGGAAAAAAAAAAAAAACAGCGTCCGACAGCCTGTAAACAGCTGTAGACTTGTGCGCACGCGAATAATGAAGAAAACTGATTTTTAGACGAGAGAGAGAGAGAGCTGTGCATGAAGTGTGATTTCATTGTGGTGGAAGCAAAACAGCAAAAGTCAGAATGAATTCATGACGATGTTTATGTGAAGCATAGTTTGGATCTTCTTTTGCTGCTGGTTCGGTCGATATTGTTTGGAGCGATAAAAACCTGCAGCTTCAGAATCTGTGCAAAAAGGACGTAAACTCAAAGCTCGACCCGCCGAAACATCAGAATCAGCGAGCTGTCGGCTTTCAGCCCCGACCGCGTCCGTGCCGTCGGGTGAGAAAGGCAACGTCTCACTGATTCTGACCCGTCGGCACTTTGAGTTTAGCCTTTGTGCAGAATCCGTGTTCCTGCTCTCTGTTTTAGCTGTTTGGTGGTTGTTGAAGTTTTGTGAGGTTTAACCTGAGATTCTGGCGTTTCGGGCAAAATAAATTTATTTAAAAATCGATTCAGGATTTTAATGAATCGATTTTACGTTATCCAGAATTTACTTTAATCGATAATCAAAACCCAGCCCTACTTTAAAGACCACAGAGTAATAACACTTCCTGTCTGATCTAAATCACAGCTAAACATTTCAGCTCCTGTGTGTTTGTCTCACTCTTTCTCGTGGTTGACGTCTCTGAGTCTCCGCCCACTGAGGTCCCTGCAGGCCTCTCGATTGGTCGTCTTTTCAATCTGAGCGCCGAGCGCGCGCAGCATCGAACCGAACCCTAAAACACACATTTCACAAGTTTCCTTCAGCTCTTCTGCAGCAGGAAAACTGGAAGCTACTTTCCGTTTACTGACCTCCTTTCCCTCCAAGGAGGCGGAGCTCCAGATGATAGACGGCTCCATGCTCCAGAGGATCGTCCAGGTGTGCCCGGCGCCCATCTCTGGTGACGTAGAAATCCTGGAAACATGAAAACTCGCTGAGATAATGTTTCTGAGATGAACCCTTCAATCATCTTCATCTACATCCCCTGAAGCCGCGACCTGAAGCTCCCGTAAACACACCTCCAGTTTATTTAATCTGGAATAAATCTAAATAAATAATTCAATGAATAAGAGCTGGCAGGAAGTACGTCATAACAGGGCTGATCCTGACGCTCTGATTTTCATTTTTTAAACATGTACTTTTCAAAGAGGTTCAGTGGACAACATTTAACTTAAGAGTTTGACAAACGAATAAACAATACACACCGTGTATATTGTTTATGTGCAAGTACACCATCAACACTGACACAAATACACGGACACGGCCTTTGAATAGCTGTCCACTGTAGTGACCACTATCACTACCACTTGTGATTGCTTCAGCCTCCTCTGGATATAACCTGAGGTTACTGTCAGTGCTGACCTCGTTTGGGACAGGTTAATACCGAGTTTAGCCTTATAGCTTATATGCTAACTGCCGACAGGTTGATCCTGTTCACCTGGACGTAGCGGTTTCAGTGGGAGGAACGTTTCGTCACTTTTCCAGGTGACTTCTTCACATGAGTGACGCTACGTCCAGATGAGCGGGATGTGCTTACCTGGAAGATTAAGCATGCATCAAAACACTTTATATGCTAACGTTAGCGCAGCTGCTAACACTGATACCCGGAGTGCATTTAAACCGCCTAACCCGGGCTAACTCACGCTAACCCTGGTTATCCCGGATAATTCGTCTCAGCCTCACCTCCGGAAGCGGCACGAGCCGGTCCAGGACGTGCCTGACCACAGAACCGACCGGAAACACGCAGGTAGAACCTCTGCGGCCCAAAGCGCTCACCGACACCTCCATGTTGCACAACGCTCATGCGCAGTTCCTCCGCTTCTTACTGGCTGAGTTCTTCTTCTCTGACTTAAAACGCGCGGCGGTAGAATGCCTTCATTGTTACTGTACAGATGTACAATGATAAACAGCGCCACCTGCTGATCCGGAGTGCACTGAGCCCACGTCACGCCACCACAACAATTCGAATTAGTGAGCTAATAATGTTTCATACGCTAGAACATTTTGGAAAGACCTCAGTAGATTCACTGCTGGACATCTCTATAAAGACTTTACTGTGAAATGGGAAAATGTTGTATTTTGTTTCTTTCGAAGGCAAAAAAAAAAATAAGATGTTTACTTTATAATAAACTTGTTAGTTATCTTAGCTAAATTTTATTTTCACAAATGCAAATACAGTAACAAAAAGCCAAATTTTAAACATTACTATAATGATGTTTCATGTTACATAAAATTGATTAGTGGATCACTTAACAAAAAGGTTATGAAAACTATTACTATTTGTAGTAATTACAAATTATTTGAATGTTTGTAATTCTTTGTATTACACCCCCTGGCATATGTTAATTTTGTTCTGGTTGTATACATGTTTTGTATACTGTTTCGTAATAAAGTTTGATATTTAAATTTTTTTTTTTTTTTTTTTAAAAAGTGGGCTAATAATGTGATTCATGGTCTCAGTTTCATGCAGTAACAATTAGGTAAAAGAAACAAGTGAGAGGTCAAACAAGCAGAACGTTTATAGTTTGAACTGCTTTTACATCATGGGAATGTTTTATGGTTTTAAAATCTTGTCTGGTTTCATTTATAAAGCATTGAAAAGACAGTTTTGCACTATTGTATTTATTTATTCTCATTCTTTTCTATTTCTTATTCTAATTTTATTCAAGCACAACACTGTTGGACTGATTCTTAGTTTATCTTATTTCTGTATAGTTACATATTTGAATTCATTTTTATGTTCACAGTTTGCACCTTTGATCCAGGAGGAAGATATTTGATCCCACTGTATACTTAAGTGTATATTGTTGGGTAGAAAATAAAAGTCTACTTGGATTCACACACACACACAGAGAGAGAGAGAGAGTTTGTGTGTGCTTTTTGGAAGACCACGTGACGCTCTTGCCTCTACAGCCTGCACGCGGCGCAGGCACTCTCCTGCACAGGGATAGATCCCCTGACCTCCCTGAACTCTTGGTAAAGGGGCATAACATTACAGCTAACAGTCTGAAAAACTCCCGAATTAGGGAATTATTTACTAATGTTTTTTTCCCTTATAGATGCAATCCAAATTCCATCTCACATGTTCTCCGGTGATCAAAAGAAAGAGATCAGAAAAAATTACCTAAAACTTCCCCTTCCTCCCAAAGCTAAGGAGGTCCACTACAAAATCCTTTCTGGTATTTACCCTTCCAAAGAATTTCTTAGACGCCGCTTTGCTATTGATAATAATTCTTGCTATTTTTGTGATGGGGATATTGAATCAACAGAACATTTATTTTATGATTGTATATTCTGTAAAGCCCAGTGAAACGATGTGCACTACTGGCTCTTTCCAAAGTTTCCAAACCTACTCCAATTTTCTAAAAATAATATTATCTTTGGTTCTCTAAGAAAAGAAGCTTGAAAATGTTCTAAATGTAATAATTATTATGGGCAAATTCTTCATTCACAAATGTCGTTTTCTGAAAACAAAGCCGTCCTTTTTTACTTTTCACAAAGAACTCTGCCTCTTCCTCTCATCTGTTAAATTTATGGACAAAAAACAAGCTCTGGTTCTGAATCATATGATTATTGAACTAGATCTGCTAGAAAACCCCTAAGGTATAACGTCTTTTTTTTCTTTTTTTTTTGTTTGCTTTGATTCTGTTTGGGGTCTGATTTTATTTATTTATTTGTTGTTGTTTGTACTTCCTGTTCATTATTTATCGTCTATATGTTGGAATTCAGCCTGTTCTGATACTATTTCATGTTGGAAAATAGAAACTTTGTAGAGATTGCCATAATTGTTGTACATTTCTGTGCAAATAAATAAATAAAATAAAATTTAAAAAAAACTCTCCTGCACAGGAAGTGCGCGGAGACAGAACTTCCGGTTGTGCGGTAAACATGGCGGCGCTGTGCAGGGTCGTGTCGGGGCTCCGGTATCGGGTCCGGCTCTCCCCCCGGTTCCTCCGGAACTCCTTCAGCTCGGACTCGGGCTCCGCCGAGGGCCCGGTCTCCGGGTTCGCCGCCGCCTTCGACCACCAGGAGGTCCTCCGGCAGGAGACACAGAGCAACGCGGCCGGGCCGAAGGCCTCCTCCTCGGGTCCGGAGCTCAGCTTCGCCGCGCTGCTTCGTCGGTCCCCGCTGATCCAGATGGGCCCAGCCAAGGACGCGGTGGTGGTGGGCAGGGTGTTCCGGGTGGTCCGCGACGACCTCTACATCGACTTCGGTGGGAAGTTCCACTGCGTGTGTCAGCGGCCGGCCGGGGCCGACGGCCTGCAGCCGGGCTCCAGGGTCCGTCTGCGGCTGCAGGACATGGAGCTCACCGCCCGCTTCCTGGGAGCCAGCACCGACACCACGCTGCTGGAGGCCCAGGCAGTGCTGCTGGGCCCGCTGGACGGACGGGAGCACCAGATCCGGGACTGAGGCTGGAACGAGGTGGATTGAGGCCCACGGGTGGAGGACTCTGGTTGTTCTTGTGCGCACCGAGGCTCAGCAGGGCCCGAAACAAGGACTGAATTAAACAATTTTCTTATCACGTGACGTTGGACTGTGCTGAATGACCCCTGACCCCGGTCACGTGACATTGTTACGCTGCTGGAGCTGATGGCTGCTGTCACTGTTCGTCATCATCAACACTGAAACTGACCAATCACGGAACTGTGATGTCATAACTTTGCAGTGTGTTTGTAAAAGTCTGTCATGGAAAAATCATTGCAGCTGTTTTCTTTATTTCTGCAATAAATAAATGTGATCTACGTTCAGCTCCTCTCGCTTTCACACATCATTCGTCAGCTGCAACACTGAGGTGAGATGGCAGGTCAAAGGTCAGCTGATAAAGCTTCAGGTCGGGGAAGAGCAGCATCAGCAGCTCCTCACACAGGAAACGAGGCGAAGCTCAGAGAAACAGACACAACGATGCTGATCAATTACTTTATTTTTCTCCCAGCATCCATTCAACAGCTGGCAGACCCGTGATTATAGAAACTACCACCTGCACAGGTGTGGCTACAATACCTGTGTGATCATGCAGGATATGAATAAGGCCGCAGAGTACTCTGATTAATATCTTTCTGCTGCATGCTTTACTGTAGCAGTACTGCAGTAGTATAGTAGTAGTACTGCAGTGTAGTGCAGTAGAGCTGTGATGGACTGGTTCCTCCTGCAGGGGGCGCTCTGACGCTCAGGTGACTCAGCCGCACATGCTCACACAGAGCCACTGAGGAGAGAAGACACGTTGACAGTCTGTGAGATTGTTTGATGTGACAGATTATTTACTCTTATTTTTGTGTAATAATCACATTTATATTCATGTCCTAAATCCTCACGACGCGCAGGAAGGAGGCGGCTTTTCAGAGATGGATTCATCAGTCGTCAGGTTTGTGCTTTAATGTGAGCGAGTGAGAATTATGCTCTGGCGCAGAGGCTCAGACAAAACGTGAACCGTAAATCATCGGCTTACAAGAGTCAAAGCATCCTTCATGCACAGCTCCTCACGCAACAAAAAGATCGAGTCCACAGTAATCTGGTTTACGCAGCAGAATAAATTTGTTATTATGAAAACAATAAATAAAATATAGGCAGGAGGGGCACTTAAACACCTTTCTGCGCCTCCTCGTTCACAAACAGAGCCAGAGGCGACGCTAACGTTTCCTGTAAAATGATCCAAACCCACAAACATAGACTGTACGCTGAAGATGGAAGATACTCCACGTGTGGAACAACAGGTCCACGAATACGAAAACAGTATTTACACAGAAAAATGATCCAAAACATGATTTTCATCACAGGCCTGATGGACACGGATGCTTAAGGCAACATCAGACCTGCTTCCGCTCATATGAAACTAACGTGGGTCTGACTCGAGCGCGTCTAAGCTCAGCGTTTACCTCGATGAGGGTCATCTCCACGCTGCCCGTCCCGTCTGTGTCCAGGTGCAGGAAGGTTCCTGACAAACACACACGGAGCAGCTCAGCACAAATAAAATGTTAAAAGGTTTACTGTGCATGCTCTCGCAGTCACATGATCAACCTACGGAACATGGCCTCCAGTTTGACGAGGCAGCAGGTGAAGTTGTCAAAGTCGATGATCTCGTTGTCGGCGTATCGAGCCACCAGCATCTGATGCAGCTTGTTGTTCAGCTTGAAGCCTGCGGACGCGACACATCTCAGGTCAGTTTAATGCAACAGAGCACGCTCAGTAACAATGCAACACTCAGTTACCGCCATTTTCCAGCGCCAGACGCATCTCGTAGGAGTTCATGCAGCCAGATTTATCCAGATCGAACTCTCTGAAGATTCCCTGAAAACATGAAACCGAACTCGTCATCGCAGGACTCGATCGGATCGATCGGCTATTGGATTGAAGATTTTGTTACCCAAACATTTAAACCCACAAAACCAGGACCTGATCGACCAGCACCTGATCGACCAGCACCTGATCGACCAGCACCGATAATCAATCGCTCAGACTTGGAGCCACTTCCTAAACTAATCAGACTGGAAGAAACAGAGGAAAGCGAACGAAGCGACTCGGTGCTCCGTCTCATGACAGATAAAGTTTTTATGTTTGAAATGAGCTCGATAGCTTTCACCTGTGAGCTTCAGGCGTTCACACTCACCAGCCACTTCCTGATCTTGTTCCAGAGGATCTGAAACTCCAGCAGCCCGAGGCGAGCGCTGCCATCTTTCTGAGATCGAGTCAAGGCCAACGCGTCTTATTTCAGACATCAAGCTTTACCTGTCCGAGCAGCGGCGAGGATACGTCCATGAGGCTGACCATGGCTCTGCAGGACTCCATGCTGAAGCCGTCAGTCTGCAGGTCTCTGTCTGCAAACCACATCACAACCACATCAGAGACCAATCAGAAGCCTCCATCTGATTGGTGAAGAGGTGAGGAAGACTCACGTTTGGACACGACTCTGTTGAGGATGGTCCTGAGCTCCCGCACTGAGATCTCCATGTCCTACAGGGAGGAAACAGGAAGTGAACGTCCTCGCCGTTTCTGCACGTTCAGCCCAAGAACGTTTTCATTACTGAACTCACGTCTCCGGACAGCTGAGCGAACATGGACCTGAAGGAGTCGTCGATGTCGCTCTCTGACACTTCCTCCTGCAGAGAAGAAGAGCAGGAAGGTCAAAGGCCAAAGACACAAAGTC